GTGTGTGTGTGTGTGTGTGTGTGTGTGTTGGGTTGGGGGGGTGCGGGGCTGGGATTACACTGTCACACTGTTCATACTGTTTATGCATACCAGGCCACTGTGAGTGCCTCTTTGTCGCATAAGTGTTTACTTGAATTTATTTTGGGAGAATTCCACATGACTGGGACGGGGATCTCTATAAATTATGGAATAGAGCGCTTTGTGTAATGATAACTTCTGTCAGTTAGTCAGGCTGTGTGACAGTGTTTTTAAGAGTGTGTAAATACAGGGGTGGTGAAAGAGGGAGAGGGGCGTCTGTGTGTTGAAAGGTGCTGCAGACTTTCCCGTTCATTTAGTCTCTTCAGCAGAACAATAACAAAGCTTTAAAATGAGCTCCTTACACCACTTTGCTCACTTTGCATGCAACACATTTTACCACATATTTACTCACATACTGTACGTCTCTGCACAATTTCTGAGATAATCCCATTTTATGGTACTTAACACTCGAACTACAGTACTCTCCAGTTGAAAATATTGTTCTTGCTAATCCCCTACATTCAGTTTGTACATATGAAAAAAAAATATGGTGAGCTTATAAAATAGTAAGCATTGTTGTAGTCTTAACTACCCAACAATAGCTCCATCACAACTTATTACAAAGGACACTTTAAGCTAAAGTAAACCTTGATATTACTGTGCCTTGTGCTATACACTTGTCAGACACGCAATGTAGGGACATAAACAATTATTTTGTCATTATTTATCTCTCTTTATCAATTGGATTAATTCTTCAGAACATGAATGATGTTATTTATGTATTTAGCTTTTGCCTGAACAGCAAACATCGTAGGGAGAGTCAGTGTGTAATGGCATGAGATTGCGTTATGTGATCAGATTTTCCCGACACGTATATGATGCATCATGACGCCGCCATGACATCATCGTGATATCTATGGAAAAAAATATCTGTTCTGATGCCTTGAGTTTGGCATTTGGCAATCACCATCTTAGCCTTTGGTAACCGGACGTAACAAGTGAGTGGTGGATCTGACTGAGAACTCCACACATGCCCATACGATAGTGACTTTTCAATCACAAACTATCCCTGTCCAAGAGCACACCCTGCTTTATTGTCTATTTTACTCAATATTGGCCCATAATTTACATAAAGGACATCATGCTGGATTCTAAAAGCCTTCAAACTGGCAATTGAAACCATAAACTCAGTAGGAAAATGTTTATTGAGGTAACAGAAACTGGGAGAAGTGGGGTCATTTTCTAATAGAGTTATATACAGTTGGACTTGTGATTGCAACTAGATGAGGTGCCCCCTGCTGGCTGTTGGAAAGAATGCAGGTTTAAGTCACTTTGCTTCACTTTTCAGACCTTGAAGCTGTCTTATATAGAGTCTGTGATCTTGTATCTGTAATCTCGGCCGTCATGATTTTGCACGGTAGCACCACCACCTACTATCTTTGGGTGTCAACCAGAAAGTCACTGGCACTGGATTATTTACGATATTATCTCTATCTGTGTATAATGTTTGTTTGTTTTTTTTTAAATATCATGGGAATCAACAGTACTGGTATATTGTGATACCACTGAGATTTGGTGCAGATAAGGTGCAAATTCTGATAATAGCGAAGTCAGAGCATACAAACAGTTCATTGATTGATTGATGTATTTCTCATTTAACTAAACAGGTGATCACTTTAGCACAGAGAATATACATGATTTTTATAGGTCATGCATCCTTAATGCGTTTTTTGGGGGGGACAAAAGCTGCTAAGAATGAATCCAACAAAATTACTGCTGTCTGCTGTTGAGGAACGATGGAATATTGGTTAAATTGTCGGACCATCTGTGTCCTCTGTCCTGTAAAAGAACTGTTCTTCTGGTCCTGACAGATTATTTGACTCTGACGACTAAGTGCTAAATCAAAAGCAGAATTATTCTGCGGTTGCCTTCAGTCCACAACTTTGCTGTTCTAAGTAGATACCACGGGTTTGTGGGTTAGAGACTGAAGGTTTTGCACAGCCAAGCCATACACACACTTAATACCTGTAGTTGCATGGAAATGAGTGACTGAAATTCAATCACTGGCCATAAAGTGAAAGCGTGGGCTTGTCAGAGGCATGTACAGGTTTCCAGTGTTATCCAGATGATCAGATGAGGTTGCAGTGGAAACAGAGGACATCTACATTTCTCTTGGCGAGCACTTGAAATTAGACACTGTGGTCGTAGATAACTCAAGCACGAGCCATTGTTGGGAAAAAAAAGAAGGAATTTTTAGGTTTTGTATGTTTATTTTATTTTATTTTTTTGGAGGACAAGGTATTACTATTACTATTGCTTTTAATATTTCAGGAGAAGTTGTTTAGAAGAGTATTGGGAGTGTTAATGTTTTCATTGTATATAAATGATACATCAAGTCATTGATTTACATTTTTTTAAGAGTGTAAATGCAGCCATGAATGCATTATATAATTATAGCTAATTAAGAAACTGATGCATGCTCAAGTGCCTTTACCTTCAAGTCCAACAGCCCCATCTAGTGGTTTGTACAGTACATGTATTCATGGGTAGTAATGAAGACTGGCAGTAGAGCGAAGACTTAGTATGTGCTATTGACCCAGTTTCTAGGAGCTTGTTTGTTCCTCAATGGATAGGCAGTACTTTAGTGAAACACTTCCAGCATTGGTGCTAGTCAAGACTCGAACTACACTGCTTCAGAGCAAAAGAAAGGTCAAATACATTTTTGACATCTTGAAAATGTAGAATTTCTGATCAGTTCATAATCCATTTCTTCTGGCCCATCTTGCATAATTTTTTATTAATTTTTACCATGCTTAAATGGTATATTTAACGTATATTTAACTGTGTCAATGTCAGAAATTAGTGAAATACATCAATAATAATGAGCCCATTGTGCCTTTAGAGTGCTTGTTTTGTCTCAGCGAGCACTTTAAAAACAAACATGTTCAATATTTAATCATCTGTCAACAGAAATACAGCCAACTGTCACTTTAACGCAACTGAAGCCAACAAATGTTTGTCTCGTACGGCTGGTAAAGAAAAACCCAAGTCAGATGTAAGTTGTACCATTTATTAGTCAATTTGACAAGTGGCACAATGCAAAGATTGGTGTCACAGTCCTATTCCTGAAAGGCTTTACATTTGAAATAAATAGTTTGTAATGACAAAAACATTTCTTTGAGATGGTTAGTAGACCTAAGAAGAAGACCACAACTGGAAACATGTTTATGCCAGGTGCTTTCTTTTCATCAAAAAAAAAAAAAAAAGTGTACAAAAAACATCACAAACATTTTTGCATTACCCCATAGCCTATCACATAGTAGTGGTAAAAGACATCTTGATTAACCCTAGACTAATCTTTAACCTATTGTCTGGTGGATTTCCTTGACTCTGAGAGACATGTACAGTATGCTGGAGCTATACCTACCTGTGGCACATGTAATATGAGTTCCTGAATGGAAACTACTTCTGCACATTGGACCTAAACCACTCTTATGGTTTCAATAAGCATCCAGTATTTGTCTGTTCCATACATTTATGATAAGTCTTCCAGCCGGGCTTTTCCCCTCCCGTTTCAAAACAATCCAGACAAGGAAATAAAAAAAAAAACGGTACAGTCTCCATGCTATGCTCTAGGGATACTCCTTTATTGAACAACCTGAAATTCTAGCTATCTTTGGGGTAATGCCTTTGTGTTTAGTCTTTGAGAGAAAGAAAGGCACAGTCTGCAGAGCAGGATTAGACAGAAGAGTTCAGTTGAAGTGCTTTGTTGCTGAACTCCTCTCAAGGGAGCAGAAAGTAGCGCACATTGTTGCGGTTTCTTTTCCGTTACATCAGATAAAGACCTTTTTTTTTTTTTCCTTTCTTTTTGTCTGAGAGGCCGAGCCTGCAGCTCCTGAACCCATGCATGCGGGGTGAAATGAAACGTCCACAGCTGCAAGTAACAACATAATACCAACAAAAACAAATCTGGTACGTCGGTTCTAGACATTTTAAAACACCAGTACGGATATGATGATGTCTGATATTCTGGCGTTTAACAATACTGAGCCATTTATTGTCGAGTATTGTTCGTCCACACCCAGCCCTTCCCATTGTGGTTTCAAAGCAGCGAAAGACTTGTGGGAGGGCGGTGGCGAACTGAGGGAGAAGCCTCACCAGGTGTCCTGTTCATAATCTTCCTGCCACGTTTACGCTCACTTTCTGGTTTTTCTCTGTATTAATTACAGCCGAAAAAAGTTGCTCGTGAATATCTCGTTGAAGGACAGAACTGATGCAAAGGCGGAACAGCAAACCTCAGTCAGGGCCGAGTCTTATCTGAGCGGCGAGGGGGAACAGAGATACTGTATCTGACTCCCCACATGCTTCAGCCCGTTTGGAAAACTGCGCTGATAAACTGGCTGCACTGTGGAATGAATCTTCTTTTTGAGGCGATAGCGGCGCGCACAGTTCAACACTGCGTGGAGCTCGGAGACACTCCTGATGGGTTTTCAGTACACAGAAATGAAGCTGTTGTCTGCAGCTTGAGTTGGACACTGGTACTAACACAAGTTTACACAGCATGAAAAGTCCCAATACATTTATATAAAAACAATTATGTGGACACAATGATAGTATACCCTGGAGGGAAAGGTTTTCCTAACCCATAAGAAATGAATATACATATGCAGCACACGCTGAAAAAACAGAGGTAGCTAATTTATGAAACATTAAAAAAATAAACAATACTATGGACTCAATACTACAAAGAATTTAAAACTGGCTTATGGTAGCTATTAGGATTCACAACATTAACAGATTATAATGCACTAAATGTCTGCTATCCATAAAAGAAGCTCGCCCTTCTGCTCACGCCTACCTCTCATAATTTCTTCATTTAGACATTCCTTCTATCTGCGATGCTGTATAATAACAAAGTAGATAATCTCATCAACAGAGAAACGAATCAAACAAAGATCAGCGTGAATGTATAAATGCAAATATTTCGCAAAGATACATGAGACGCTAGAGTTTTGACATGATGTTTAAATTGTGAATATGAAGAATAAGTTATTTTTCTCCGGTAATAATGCAGTTTTGAACTCACTGGAACTACATTTGTATCTTTGAGATTATCGGGCCAGAATGCAATTTTTTTAGACATGAGCAAATAAATAATTACAATCAATAACTGGCTTTCGGTATTTCACGTATTTAGAATTGGTGTTGACTAAAAGAAGAAGAAGAAGAAGGAATTTCTTCCCTGATGTTTCTCCAGTCAAATGTTCATCTAGTTCAGATCTGCTGTTTGTCCTGTCAGTAGTTACGAATGCTGAAGAAGCCCACGCTGGTTGGCGACTCTTTGACTGTGACGGTAACCAGATTAGCAGTGACATCCGTTACAAACACGTGTTCAATCAGACTACGCGTTGGCTTCCAGTCCTGGTTCTGGACCGTGACCGAGCGACCTTGTCCGGCGTACGAAGAATCCTGGTCAGAGTCTGAGCTGCTCTCCTCCTCTCCCGTGCTCATGTCGTTCATTTTGGCCTTCTTGCCGTCTTTGGAGGCTGATCTCTCGTGCTGGCTCTGGACCTCTGCGGAGGATTTATGCACACTGCTCTTCTCCAGCCTGCCCTGGACTCTGGAGGACTGGATTTCATTCACCTCCCTGACCTTGTCTGCACCAGGCTGTGTTTTTCTAGCCGGCGGTCTTCCAGGGGTCGCCGGACTCTTAGGAGGATTACACTCCTGGCTTTGTGTCACAGTGGTTTTCCTCGCTGGGTTTGTTGCATTCCTCGGGCCTGATGTTGGTGTGGTACCATTTCCAGGAGCATCGTTGGTCTGCGCCACTTTATTCTGGAGGTTGAGCAGCTGAAGACCAGAACCTTGATTGGAGGAGGCATTCTTAGATGGTAAGGAAGGTTTAGCATTAGGTATCCGCTGCACTGTCGGCACAGGGGCCTGGGGTTTCTTTTGTCCATTGGGGGAGCTTAGTGTATGCTGAGTGGTCCCTTGAACCGGGTGTTTGGATGTATTCAAATTCAACGCTGCTACCCCTTTTGATTTACTAGCAGCTGCTTTCAAATCCAAGCTTGTCCCGCTGCTCATGTTGGAGATGGACAGTTTACCGTCAGTGACATTTCTGCTCTGGCTGGATTTGTTCATGGAGGCCGAGGCAGGTTGGACCGACGACCTGCCGGATCCCACGGGGCTCATGGAGTTTTTAACAGCCCCACCCTGGGCCAGAGAGCTCCTGTTCTGACCACTGACTGCATCCCGGGCCGAGCCCCGATGGAAACCCATGAAGGTGAAGCTCGCCGGGTGAACAGGCTTTTTGATGGCTCCTGGAAGATCTGCATCTTTGGTCGTCTTCAGGATTTTGCGAGAGCCCTTGTTCTGTGGAAATTCCTTCATCTCGGGGGGCAGAGGCTTCCTGCTTCGTTTCTTTGGGGGCTCCTGTTTCGCCATGACGATCTGGGCCTTCTTCTGAGGGACGGGATGCAGCTCTCTTGCTCTGACACTCGGGTTTGCCTGTTTGACGTGGCTGTCATCATCTTCGTCCTCTGATGAGGATGAAGAGGACGAGCACGACGATGAGGAATCGGAGGACGATGATGAGGAGCCAGATGAAGAGCTGCTTGACTTTGCAGCTTCAGGAACGTTATCCTAAATTTTAAGCAGCAAATATTAGACATGTTATTCGAACGTCCAGACAGAATGATGTCCTGCTTTGAACTGTACTTACGAGGATTTTCCGTGGTCGTCCTCTGGGCCTTTTTCCTCTTTTCCGCATCAGAAGCTCCTTTTCTTGCTCTCTATAATGAAAACATAGTTAAATAATATTAATTACATGATAACATTTTTATTGCACTTGCACTGTTTTCACTTCTATATTGTTCTTCTTCATCTGAATTCAATGTATCTCCTCGAGGCAAAATATCAATAGAATTGTACCCAAAATGCCTCACATGCTTAACATCTGTTTATCCACGGGCACTACAATTTACCAACGGTGCATTAACGCCTCACTGCAGGCTACAGTAAGCCGCTGAGGTAGCTATGCACAGAGAAGCCTCGATTCTTCACTGGGCTACAGAGCAGCTAAAGTAGCCAGCAACCAACTTTGAAAAGAGTGAATTGAGGCATACTAATATTTACAATAGCTGAAAGCAAGTGATTTTATCTACATGGATTTTTATTGATGAACAGGATGCTCTATTAGCTGTTCCTGCATTTTAAACATCAATATTGTAATTGGGTTCATTTTGTTGTGATTAATATTCAACTAACTGTGAAAAAAAGGTCTTTGATTTGACTATTTTTGGGACAATTCTATGCTTTTGTCTTTGTTAAAACGTGGTAGATGAGCTATGAGATTAACTGCAATGTACTTTTTTATCACTATGAGTATTTGAAATATCAGCAGGATTACTGCTACATTTAAAGAGTATTAATTAGGTGTCAATTTTTTTCAAATATTTAAAATTACACTATATTTCTTCCTGGGAAAGTTACCCTTTTTCACACAAATCATCGCTTAATGTGTGTTTAAAGTTTACATGGCTGATTTTAAAATTAAAAGATGGATTTACTTCTTGTTGAACGCAGCCAACAGTCTGGGGTCAAGGATGTTTTCTTGGGGCTCCCAGCTGTTGTGTCTGAAATAAATTAAAGTGAGGAGCGTCAACACATCACAGTATTCATCAAAATCAAGAAAAAGCAAGGTGGCCCACAAAGATTAAATGTACCCTTCAGCTGCAGCAGTGACCCCAGATTTTAGAAAGTGACCTTTCGACAGAGTCGGTTCATTCAGGAACAGAGGACTCTGTTGTTCCAGCAGCCATAAACTTAGCATAGACAACCTGTGTGTTACCTGAGTCAAACTATTTAAAGGTTGGTTGAGAAAGACCATTCATTACATCTCAAAGCAGCACAACAACTACAGTCTACGACTCAATAGAAATGAATAGAACAAAGCTACAATTTAGCTTTGTGTTATATAGACAAGTAGATCAGCACAATAACACACTCTGCAGAAAACCAATTCCTCACAGTATCTTAATACTATACGAATACATTCTAATAATTAAACATCAGGCTTGTCTCATTGCACGTCAACCCATTATCAATGGCTGTACAATCAAGCATTAATCGTCTAAGCTCCGAGCAGTCACATTTTTCCTCACCGTGGGCTCGTATTTCACGGCAATATAAAGTCCTGAACTTCTATGGAAACAGCACAACCACGAACAGAGGAGCAGGGAAACTCAAAAAGGTTGCTATGTAGTTTAACAAAGTTATAATGCCTTAAAAGAATAAGTTAAACCCTTTGATTATTTACGCATTTATTTACATTTATTATAATGACAGAAAAACTTCAACGTGCATTTTTCCAAGTATCCACAGGTGTTACCAAAGGCTGGGAAAAAGGTGACTCTACATAGTCTAGATATTTTACTTTTTGTACTTTTAATTTGCCTTAATATTTGTGTCTTATCTGCTCGGTGTAAACACAGCCTGCAGTTCAGCCAAATAGCCCAGAATTTGGAGTGCAGATTTTTTATTTACTTTTTTTTTCTCTACAGAACCTAGTTGGAACAAAAGGTTTGTTTGTAGTAAAATATGTAATTGAGACATGTAGTTTAAAGTGATTTGGATAAATTGTCTGTAGGTGTGAATGTGAGTGTGTTTGCTGGTCTCTCTCTATGTGGCCCTGTGATAGACTGGTGACCTGTCCAGGGTGTCCCCTGCCTTCACCCTGAGTCAGCTGGGATAGACTCCAGCCCCCCTCATGACCCTTCTGAGATTATTACAATCTTTGTCTGTGGCAGATGCTATAGCTTTGGTGATATTTTACAGACAATGTGCCTCGTAACCCCCCCAGCTGGATTTTGAGTTCAGAGGGGTAAATGATGAAGTCAGTATGTGAATGACTTGAGCAGCTACAAACACCTTTCTGTGTTTATCATTATGAATCATATTATTGCACATCAAGGTCAACAGGATGCAGTATAAAATCTTTCAGAGATGCCAAAGAAATATGCGGAGAGTCGGTTAAAGGCAAACTGTTGTGTGAAACATCACAGAGGGTACTTAATAATCAGTCTCCCATGGCTACAAAATCAGACTCAGTTATCTTTGTTTCCACAAGGAGGAAAAAAAAAACTAAGTGCCTGATTATGTCTGTTTAAAAAAAAAAAAAGAGGAAGAACATCTTTTAAGGTCATGGAAGGCCTGACATTTATGAAAACTTTGTATTGATTACTGCGGTACAGGATGGAGAAATAACTTGCTTCTACTGCCTCAACCATAACGGGAAGATCCAGCCTCATTTCACCGCAGTTACTTTGTCTTTGTGACTTTTTCTCGACCTGAAAATCAAAGCATCTGTTTGCCTGCTTCCTTCCTGCGTAAATGACGAGCTGCATCGAGGGCGTCTAATGATTTGAAAAAGTAGGAGAATGAAAAGTTGCCGAGCTGCAGAAACAAAATGAAAACGGGCCACTTGTGTTTCCCCTTTTCTTCCTTTGGGGTGATCCGAGTCGCATGCATGTATAATGACCTTTCTCCTCATCACTAGTTGTTTGAATGGCCTATTCTGATCAGCAGTGAAATAATCAACCCCCACCCTCTCCCTGCACACACACACACACACACACACACACACACACACACACACACACACACACACACACACACACAAAGGATGTGGGTCTAACAGAAAGCCATGGAGCTGGCAGGCAACAGTGTGCATTGATGGTGGATTACAGCAACAATGTGAAGTGAACAGAAAGGGCAAGTGACAAGAAATGAAGGCGTAGTGGAGCTATAGAGGCAGCAGGAATAAAAAAATAAAAAAAAACAACAGCAGATGTTTTAAGTATACATGAATACAACACCATATAGCTTAGTTAGATAGCAAATATCCATCAACTATAGCACATTTGGCTCAATTATTTAACCACAAAAAAACTTGGTAAAACAAGAATAAAAATGAATCCAACACCAATGATCTGAATAAACAGGAATATTAAACGCACACGAAGCAGATCCAACCTAAAAAGTATCTGCTTTAGCTTTCTGCTAACTTCCAACTGTTCAGTTGTTATGAACAAAAGACGGCTAAAGGCTCAATTTGTGAGCTGTATTTGAACAAACCGCCCACAGAAGCACAATGTTTGTAGTAGCTTTGTCTCGGTGCTTCTTTTTTTTTTGTTTTGTTTGTTTGTTTGTTTGTTTTTACCAAATCGAACTAACTGTGTAAGAAACAGTTGGGCCAAAAAAAAACAAAAAAAAAACGCAACAAGCGACACGTTGTTGTTGTTTTCATTGTTTCGGGCTGAGCAGCACCACTTGTACTTACTTGGATGACCATCCCCTCCACTTCACCAGAAACTCCAACTTTCCCTGAAAGAAAACCAGAGCGCGGACAGGGTTGGTGAGCAGCCGAGCACACGGACACAAACCAAACCAAACAGAAAACACGGATAAAGAGGAGTTTCACAGCTCTGACCTTTCTCAGGCGTTTGTTTAAAATGCATTCCGCATCAAAAACCTGCTCTCCCACGGCGCTCAGCTCCTCCATGTCTGCCTTCGCCCCGAATAAGAATCCTTTATCAAAAGACCACAGCTGCGTCAAGCTGCTACGCGACAGGACCGGATGCTCGCAGTCCGGCCTTCAAATTAAGAGAAGACAACGCTGGAACGTACCCCTCAAATCATATGGGGCTCTCTGGTCAGCCAGCTCTGGTTTGCTTGAAACTTTTTTTTTTCTCTCTCTCTATTAACTCATAAGCAATACATGTGTCCCATCTGCACGAAATCAGTTGCATTGCACCTGGCGGTATTTGACAGCAGTAATATTTTTACACTTTGTAGAAAACATGTAGAAACATGTAGAAAACAACTAAGTGGACTGATCTAAGTAGTAAACCCAAAACCAATATTTTATCACGAGTTAACATAATTTGAACTGATCTCAGATATAACCTGAGGTGATTTTGTGCAGATGGGTCACATATATTTTAAAAGACACTGTGAAATGTTAGATAAATAAATCAAACACATTCCTAGATAAAGGTTTAACAAATTGCCTGTCAAGCAACTTTCAGCACATTTTTTTTCTCATTGAAATTTTGCGATATGTCTGAGAGACGTTATCTCAGGAACTATTAATTTTAATCATTGTCAGGGAAGTTGCTTTCATGGAAGTTTCATACTCCTGTTACACTTTTAATTATTTCATTAAACTTCTAATTATATGATATAAATATATATATTATACTATGCTTGCCTAATCCAAGTAGAACAGAATTCTGGAGTTGCAAAACTGTTTTCTGCTCAATTTGTTGACAAGGCCTGTAGATGGCTCAAAATATAACTACTTTGTATACACACAGTACATTTACCGAGGTGATGAAAAAATAAACAATCATGCATTAGAAATAGTGACATTACTTTGAAGAAACGTGATGCTGACAGGAGTTATAGTTATGTATATTTTTATTTGAACAGAAATGAACAAATAATAGTTTGGAGGGAAAACGATCACAAACATAGTTTTATTTTGAAAGTGGCAACCAGAAGTGTAATTGCTCCCTGTGTAACTCGACACATTTCCTCGGAGAGAGGCGGCAATTGAGAATGTGGTTGCTAAAACCTGTCACTTGGCGGCCACCGTAGTCTCATCTTAATGTAAATGAAAGTAGAAACACCGAATTATGTGGTAATCAGTACTTTATTCTGGAATCTGACCTCAAAATACAGGTTTTTGGATTTTTAATTCTCATTTTATTGCTTTTAAACCCCTTATTTTATTTTTTTGTGATTTGGTACATAAAAAAATAATATAAAATATACGATAATTAACCTACAACTACTCACAATACCAACTAGGCTTTACAGATGCACTTATTCAAGATAACTAACAATATTGCACAATTTTAAGACAACATAGCACTAGCCTTTCATTTATTCAAACATTAAATTAGGACATATTTCGTAAAGTGCACATAAAGTTTGTTCTTGCACACATTTTAAACAAAACAAACAAAGCACAGCAAAGCAAAAACTTAAGTCTCCATTTAACTCAAAAGTTGCCTTGTACATTTCACTCTGTCCACCCTTTGCTCAATTTGTATTTTCATGCAAACAATTCAAAATGAAGATTTGCACACAGCTCTGCTCTTTGGTTCCTGAGTGCATTTCCTCACATGGAACGAAGGAGGATCAGCCAGAAAGGGGTGGCTGTTTCTCATCTCAGGCTAAGAAATAACATCATTTTTTGTGTGATGATTAAAATGAAGTTTGACATGCGTCTTGCTCTTTGGGAGGATCGCTCACACTTTTTGATCTGAAACACAGAAATGAAGACATTCATTGCAATGCAAATACAAACATGTTGTTATATGAAGTTTTGTTGCTGATGTTGACAAGCGATTCCTACCACAAAAGTCATCCACAATTACTGCTTATATTTTTATTGTATATCTGTGACGAGTTTTACATTGGAGTCAATTAAAAAAATGTATAAAGATGTTGAATGCAATTACCACAATATACAATTTAACAGTAAAAAAAAAAAAAAACACAACAAAAACAAACATTCTTTTCTTAATTTAAAACAACAACAACAACAACAAAATTTCCCTTTTTTGCCAAATGACTTAAAGTAGTAATTTATAATAACTTAGTCATTACCTTTTGTTTTTCCGTTTGCTCTTTGCCCTCTTAAGTATTCTGTGGGACACTGTAAATATAAAAACTAAGACAAGAAATCCAGCTACTGCAGCCAGTCCGTTGAAGAGATTTGGCAGGTGACTCACACCTCCACCTGAGATGAAAAAAAGAAAACAGAGAACATATTCAGGACTTTTCCTGCATAGATACATTTTTCCCCCAAAGAGTTTTTAGCCAGAGCCAAAGGACAATCATCAGTGCCAAAATGATGTGAATTAAAAATAAAGAAAACTGTATAAATACATATATGTTATTTATTTATTTATTTTTTTAAGTTATTTATTTTTTTTGCCTTCTTGCCTTTATTTGACAGGACAGTAGAGAGAGAGACAGGAAAGTGGGGGAGAAGAATGGGGGAGGGACCTGCAGCAAATGGCCATGGGCTGGACCCGAACCCACGACCGCTGTGTCGGGGACTACAGCCCCAGTACATGGGTCACCAGAAAACCATATTTTTTTAAAACCTATTTTGTTATTTGAGGTGTTATTTACACAAGTGTAAAAGATTCTAATAATGTAAAAAATAGTCAGAAATAACAGGAAAATGCACACATTTCTGTCAATTAATCTGCAGAGAAACACGGTGTTGTTTTATTCCTTTTACCTGAGTGTAATTTTGTTACTTTTGTGAAGAAACAGAAGTGCAAAACCTTAAGAAAACAAAGTACTCTGGCACTAAATTCCATCAACCAACCACTTGATGGCGCAACAACAGCAACCTTTACATTCTGCACAATAGGGTTTTAACAGGACAGGCCAGACACAGCGTTACTAGACTTTGCTTACATTGTTCCATATGTTTTTGTATATAGCTGTGTGTTTTGTGTAGCTGCATCTTGTTGCCCCTCTTCAGAGCGATTATAAAAGCTGTTTGTGCTGCATTGTATTTAAATTAAACAACTGTGATTCGTCTTGCAGCATCTTTGGGTGCATGTAATGTGTCAAAATCGTCATGAAAACCAGTTTAAAGTTAGATGATAAACTTGTTTTAGAAAGTTGACTTTTGGGGTAAAATCTGTAAATTCACAAAAGCAGAGAGCCAGAGGAAGAAAAAGAAAAGTAGCATAAAATGTCAAGATGTAGCACATGCTTAAAATGTATGCTTTTGTACTTAAGGCTTACTTTAAGTTTGAGTATTCATGCAATAAAATTAAAAAAGTTCGTACCACAAATAATGAAATTATTAACATTTATACACATTGATTTATGAGTCCAATCTGAGTGTGACAGACAATTCAGGTAGTTTTTATGTAAAATATGACTAAAAGAATCATGTCCATCATGTCAGAGGTGGACCTCAATGACTGACCAGTATTTAAGGATTATTTCACTCTGGTTATATCATCTAGATGATCACACTGAACTCATCAATGAGCCACGCTGCTGCTCTCACTGACATTTTCCTTCATTAACATTTAAGTTTACTCTGACTTAGTCCCACATTCACCATCCTGCAGGCAGAAACACGAGCTCGAGCAGTGTGTATTAATCTGCAGCAAGTAGTTCCAAATAATTTAAGTTAAAAAGTAAAACTACATATTTGTGACCTGCTTTATTGATTTATGTCTTCAGTAGGAACCAGCGGAACCAGAGTCAGGATTTCTTGCATGGTCCGTTAATTATCTTAGAACTAATTAAAAAAAAATACAGTCTTTCCAAACTTACCACGAGCCACGCCAGGTGCACTTTGTAGTTTCAACCTAGAGTAACCCTACATCTGATTTGGACACACGTGAAGTCAGACATGATGGATGAATGGCCTAGTAATGAAGGAGCAGGTGTTGGAGCGACACACTTTTGGGGCCACGGGGAGAGACTCATTAGTCTGATATGAACTCACCCCGAGTCGTCACCAGCATGTGTTTGGTGGCATTCAGGTGGCCGTCATTGACCTCCGGCTTGATGCCCAGGATGTGACACATCAAGGGGTAGATGTTCACCGTCTCAAAGGGCCCCACCTCCAGGTTCCTGTGAAACGCCGGACCCACTGCCCTGAAGAAAGCCTTCATGTCCATGTCTTGGTTGTCAAAGCCGTGCTCTCCCTTGTTGAACTGAACTGGGAAATACTGCAAGGACAGAGGGGATAACATAACTCGCATGACCCAGTTTGTTAGATTCAATTAGAATGTAACTTTCAAAAGGCAGTCATTTTAATAACGGCTCAACGGGGTTCCACGTCTCGGCCTGCTCCCGCTCTGTCAGCAGAGGGAGGTATTGGCCAAGTGAAAGCGTTGTTTCTGTGCTGGAGAATGGAGGCCTTTTCTCTCTTTGTGACTGCTGTCAGCCACTGAAGGTGCATAAAAGAGATTTTAAATCTGTCTTGAAATTCTCCATTTTCATGAAATACTCATAAGGCATCAACTCCTTTGATAATTTAGTCGTGTATATTATAGCTATCGCTGGAATCATGTTATATAAATATCAGTATTTAGACTTATCTTAGAAATGATGTAACACTCTTTACATACTTTTCTATCTTTGGGATCAAGCTAAATGGGGAAAAAGCCATAAAGGGAGCGAACAAAGAGTCAGATAATGCTGTCGTGGTCATGGCCAGTCATAACCTGTAGACTTAAGATAACTCATTTTATCAGTGAATTCACAGGACTGATTATTTTCCCCCTATTCAACATATGGAGACATTTTTTTAAATATAATTTTGCTCTTTAAATGAAGCTATGATTTGATAGTTCTCAGCACTGACTGACACATTCAGTTGCAAAGTTGCTGCACAGTGGAGTGACTGAGTGAGTGTGGAGCCAAATGAAAATGCTAATTTTGAATTTTGAGGCATGAATAGCTTCATGAAGCATTTGAGAGCACTGCATGTCATCAGCCAGGCCTGGATTATCCTGAGGACGTGCAAATGCACTTGATTAAAATTGTAATGTACTAAGATTAGAATTTAACTCTGGTTGAAAAGAGCCCAGTTTCACCATTTCCAATGAGCAAATTTTAAGTAATTTAATTATTTCTGTAGTTGAGACATGAAGATATTTCAGGAATGAACTTGATGCCACATCCAGATAGTTTACTGGCTATTTATCTCTATTGGTTCATAAGTGCCTGTCATTTGATTTCTTCATGGCCACTTAGAAGGATCATAATCATATAAATGGCCTGACTTGTGTTAGTAAGTTGCCATTACAACAGGAAAGCCAAATACCTTTTTAAGGTTACCCTCTGCAATTTGGCATGTTGCATGGGCACAAAGAGCAACTATTTACCTAAAAGGGTAAATCAATAAGACTTGCTTTGGGCAGAAAACTGCTGCCGTGCACATCTCCTTGGTTTTAAACTTTCCAGCTTGTTGCACATCTGACCAAAACATAAGTCACTGATGCAAGCATATGATTTGATGTCTGATCACTGCTGCAGCTGAAATCTTGCCTCCAGCCTCATCTGTGTAACAACCGATTCTTGAGTGAGAATGACAAAATTTGAATATCTGTCAACTTACCCCGTTTATAACATATCCAGTATCAGCCCATAAGATGATGGGGAGGATGCGATCATTTTTGGTGAAGTGAAGGCGCTCTGGCATCTCCTCCTTCTTGTACACATGGAGGTGTGGATGAGCCCCCTTCAAGGCGTTGTAAACCTTGTCTAGCATGCCCGGCTTTGGCAACAGCATCCCAGAGGGGCCGTAGTCCACCAGGTGGAAGGACAGGTCACGGAACGAGAAGCCTGGGATCTTGGACAGCGTGATTTCTTCCACCAGACTGCCACGGTACACCTTGGTCATGCCGTGGTCAGATGTGATGATGATATTCAGGCGGCTGCTCAGCCCGTGTTGTTGAGCAGAGTGTCGAATGTAGCCCACTGCTCGGTCCACTTGTTGGACCATTTCTCTGAGCTGAGGGGAGTCTGGGCCATATCTGTGGCCTGTGCCATCTGGCTCACCAAAGTACAGGGACACGAAGTCCAGATCCTGGTCCCTGAACCAGCCCATCACCTTGTCTGTGTTCTCTCGCCAAGCGGTCTCGTTCTTGTAGTTGTAAAGCGGTGGCTCCCATTCCCGCACCATAGCAACCTCTCCCTGGTAACTGGAAGGTGTGCCAGGAAAGTGAAGGGAGCCAGCTTTTAGGCCCTGGAAGGGAAGGAAAAAGAGGCCACATTAACATAAATATGACACATGTACACATGTTGACAAGCATGCAAAGGGTTCGCATATGTTCATACTGTGGGTCAACATACAAGGAAAGCAAATCAGTAGTTGCTGAATTTTGATTGCTTCTCTTAAAGCTACAGCTGAACCTTTCAGGCAGACTTACAGCAGCTGCCATTTGCATGCAGTTAACATCTATGCCTGCAAAATAATTTGCAATATAACTGCAGTGATCTACCTGAAATCATTCAGCAGGCCTTCAGAGGTGTTTTGTCAAGAGAAATGGTTTCTATTGCTGTAAACAGCAAAACAGTCTCTCACAGTGATAAGATGGAAATTGTGCTTCACCGACCTGTCTCTGTGCTGTGATCCAGATAGGCAGAGTGCCATTGTCCCACCACTCATTCACAAACAGAGTCTGATAGTACGGCCATTTCTCACCGGTGGCTGTGTCGAACCACATGTTGTGGATTACCCCGTGATTCTCAATGTAGCGGCCTACAGAAGAGAATCACTGTCAGTCTGCTTGCACTCATTATTCATAGCGTGACACATTCACATTAAAAATTCTATCAACTTAACGGGCTGAGTGGCATGACGCTTTTGGACAAGGTCTTACGACCAACTTCGGAGATTAGAGGAATTTAATTTCAAGGAAGTTAAATTTCTTTTAGTAGGCACTGATGATTCGAGAGTCAAAATAAGAAAGGGAACAGAGAATTCTTCCCTCAGTCATCCAAGCATAATCATCTTACTCAGCTATAAAAGCTGTTGGACCCTGGGACATTCAATTACAACTAATTCCTTTTTTTCCTGTGGCTTTTTTTTCAATCCTTGCAAAGTAAACTCCGAGTGGTTCCACTATTCCGCCATGATATGCAGATCCCGTGCCAAGTGGAAGCGCTGTGGTAGAAAATGAAACACTTTACCTGTCAAGAGGGTGAAGTGTGTAGGGCTGGTGACGGTGAGGTAAGGAGGTGTGACATACGCAGCTTTGACTCCATCCTTGGCCATTTTGTCAAGGTTTGGAGTGTCCACATCACGGTCATAATCCCACCTGAATCCATCAAAGGAGATCAGCAGCACCTTCTGTCTCTCTTTGTTTACTGGAGCTCCGAGGATACACGATGCCCAGAGGATGCAGAGGAGACTCGCAGTCCACATCATGGCAAACACAGGCGCTTCACAGGATGTTAACTGATTCTACCCTTCAGCTAAAACTGTCATTCAGAGGAAGATCCCCCTCTTGTCATCTCTCCCGAGGGTTCTAAGGTGCACAAGTTGCGAGCAAAGTTTACCCATGTTATCTGCACCATTGATAAGAAAGGACTTTATCTGTGCCGTTCTGCAGTGCATGTGGCCTCATGTTTATGGGCCGATTTTATGGCGGGGAGCCGTGTTCACAGTGAATTTTCCCCCTTGTTTTGCTCTTGAGGACTGACAGTAAAGCAGATTAATCTCTCCAGGCATCATGGCTGTTTGTTTCCGCCCTAACTTGGTTGTTGATGCTGTCTTTCTGTTTGTCTGCCTGCCCGTCTGTGTGTCGGCGTTTCCTGTGAATCACTGACAATGGAGGAATGACACTTTGATGGGTTTCACCTTGGGTTGGGATGGTGCATGATTGATCTGACACCAGGAAAATGAAGAGGAGAATGAGAGTATATATCTCGTCGTCAGCTAGCAGTGGTCTCTCGGGAAGAAAAGACCCTAATAGACATATTCATTTCATAACTCTAATGTGTATATTAGCCCCAGGATATTGTGAAAAGATCTTTAAAAATTTACATTGATTTTTTTTTTTTTAAAGTGGCAGTGGCCGTGAGGATGGACACTCTATTAAAAATGAACTGCGGACCTCCTCAGTGTTTCAGCTCAGATCATACTCAGTGTTCTCACCCGCACATTATATATCACTGCGTTGTGATGTAACCTTATCAACGTCCATCAAATTGCTAGACAAGCTAACTCTTCAAATTTGTTCTTTATTGTGTGTGTCCTTGGCAGAGGTTCAAGGGAATAGTCTAATCTTTATGGAGATAAGCTATAACATTCATCAGCTTTCATTTACCTCATTCATATTCATTAGCTTTCTCATATTAACTCTATCCGCTCGTCGTCCACTGTCAGCAAGATTTGGAGGAGTGTTTTGGACTGCTGAGACCAGTGAAAGTCTCAGATCTCTGCTATGAGAACTTTATCAAACACACACACCCTGAACTTGTGGGGCAAGCAAACTTTATCTGACCCTCTCCAATCCTGCACTGGATTTCCACAGGGATTCTTACATTTTCTTGAAGAAGAAAAGTGAGGTTTTTGCCTTTAGCACTCCCTGCTGCCCATACACAACCACTGCAGTGCAACTTCCCCAGACGGAAAGCCAAAACAGCTTCACCGCTGTGAGACAGCATGTACAAGACCACTACACAAATTAAGGCATTTCTCAGGCTGAGGATACACGATTGTGCCTTTTAGCTAGGTTTCAATGAACTTAGACTTTAGATTAACTTACATTAGATCTTCAAATTTTGGACCATCTGTATGAGATTCCTCTGAACATCAGTGATCTGAAAAGTGCAGTTATCATTATTATTTATTTATTTATTTTACAAATTCCTGAATCTGTCACTGTGACGTCAACAACCTGACACGTCACAAAATTCTTAAAATTCAGCTCGTCTTTCGATGGAATTCGTTTGAGTTGTTTTGTTTTGTTCTTTCATGTTTAGCGACAAACTCCCACGTGCTGTCTCCTTTGCTGCTGGTTTGTTTTATACGGTGTTTCTCTTAAAACAACTTTTCATGCTGTTCATAAAGACAACCACATGCATACAATGCGGAGATATCGATAATCTAATCAGAAAAGTGCATTTAAACAACAAATGTCAACCAAATATTATCATAAAGTCAAAGCATGAGTCACATTTAGCCTAAAAGAATGTATGAAAGAAAATATCCAAATGTTCTTTTCATGGACCATATGACAGATGTGTCTAACTTTGTGCTCCTCTGATTGGACGCTTTACCTAAAGTATATATGTGTGTATCTATGTATATACATGGAATGCTTGCACTGCTTTTTATATACCTGATGACAATTGTTAAATCCAAAGAGTTTGTCAGCTTTGTTGTAGTCCCACTGTCCTCAGGTGCACCACAGTGACACATTCGGCTTTTCAAAGACATTTTTTCAGTTATTTGATGACACACGGTACCGTTGACTCTTTAATGATTACTCCCTTGAGATCTAGATAAAAAGACAAACGCAAAATAATTTTTCTTTTCGTGATCCTGTTAAAGCCTATTTAGTTTAACTTAAAGCGCCTCTGAACAAACATGTAGAATAAAGCTGCTTAGTTGCAGTCAGAAAAACAAACAAACAAAAAAAAAACATTACTTACATTTGCTGTGTTTGAGTTTCAGTGCTGCATACCGGGATGCAAGGTTTTATTCTAATCTTTATACAATAGACATAAATGTCACCAGAGATGTATAAAAATCTGTTTTTTGTAAACAAGTTTTAAACCATTTCCCTTCCCTCTGGAGTCAGGATCACAACATTTTCAAATGAAAAGATTCTTGCGAATATTGTCAGGGTTAAAACCACTAACTAACTCATCTCACAAACAGAAAAACAGTTGAATTGAAAGCACACTAAAATGTTTACTCCAAATGTGAAATACATAAACACGGCGGCCCTGTTATAGGTGTAAATAAATGCTTAACTGCATCTGTATTCTGCTCACTTCAGAGTCTGAATGGCAAGCTGCTTCTTCCCCTGCTGTGACTGGAAGTAGACCATCAAGTTCATGCCAGCGTGCAGAGATCGATGTGTTTTGAATTGTGAGCAAACAAACTTTTAATGCATGAATGGCTTATTATCAGGTTACGTGCAAGCAAGTCCAAGCGTAAAACTTCAAACCGCAGGAAAGCTCCACTGGAGGTGCACTGTATTCTCCTGTGTAGTTCTTACTATGTAACTACAAATACAACACTTCACTACGACATTGTAAGAACATGTCACCATAGTTACTGTCATACTGGATAAAACTGCTACGTAGTTTTATCAGGTGTGGTAGCAAAAACAAAAAATCCTAAAAACATAGCAATAATGGTGAAATGCTCGAATATTAAACACTGTAAATACAGTAGCTCCTTAAATACAGTAAAAAATGTGTAAGTTGATGGTCAAATGCTGTAATTGAATGAATTACCCTTTGTAAGAAGACACATTTTTTACTGTGAGCATCATTTTCAATTTTGGCCTGTTTTTATTCAGTTAACATATAAATAAACATTTTTCTTCTTCTACTGTGATTTCACTAAATATTTAATATTTAACAAAAAAAGTAGACAGTATATTGTCAAAAAACAAATTACAGTTATAATAGATTAAAACATACTTTTTTCACAGTGCAGCTCAAACAAGGCTGCCTTAGAATTTTTTTTTTCTATATAATTTAACTTTTAATACTTTTAATTTTGCTAATACTTCAGCACCTTTGATGCCTGATGTCATTCTGCCAAAGTAGTATTTTTGCTTTTACTTGATTGTTTATATGATAACAATGTTTTTAATGACACTACAGATAGGTAAAGAGGATGCAACAACAGCAAATGACACCAGAAGCTGCATTTGTTTCTCTGCTATGCGGAATTTAAGCTCTTTTCAGACACGAGATACGTAACATAGTTGCTTCATCTGTCTGTTAAAGCGGCGGCATTCTGTCAGTCAGACAAAGGTCACTTTAACGTTATTGTTCCTCACAGCTTCGTTCAGACATACCCACCACAGTGATGAAGAAAGCACAAGATATTTGTCAACCACGCAGGATTGGACAGGATATCAAGTAATTGATATATATATAACTAATAAACAAAAGACTGAATCTAAATCGGCCGTGTAACGAATGATTTACCTGCAGCTTATAAACTGTGACTCTGTGTGTGTCAGCTCACCTGTCTGAGGTGAAGAAAAGCACACAGTGTGACTTGCCATTAGATCCTGATTGATCCTGTCTCAATGTTAGGGATAATTTGTCATTATAACTAATTAATGAAGTCACTGCTGTTGTGCCAGGTGCAAATGTGCGCAACTCCCTCAGTTTGGAGACGCTTATATGGATCCTGCTGCTGTCTGGTGCTGCAAATACAGCTAGGGAAATAAGTAGTAGCCCACCTGTTGTTTGCTTTACAGTGTCTACACAAAAGGCCTTCAACATTGAGAATTTTGTTAGGATTTTATCAGAGCTGTTAAATAATACAGTATCTTCTAAAAAACCTGAAACAAAGTTTTATTGATTATTTCATTTTATTGAAAGTGTAAAAATGTCAAAATTCACACTATAGATGACCAAGAACATGTATTGTTTCACCACTATTTTGTGTATACGTTGTAAAAATGAAAGATATTTTAAAGTAAATTATCACTCAACAGTTATGAGATGATAAGACTGTTATCTAGGTGCTGAACAAAGAGAGATACAGTCAGGGAGCTGTTGCCAACTGGCTTGGAGTCAGCAAAGCAAATGTCCATTACAACCTTTAGAAGGAAATGGAGTGTGAAAGCCTTAAAGACAAAGGAAACAGCAGAAAACAGTGGTGTTTAGGGCACTGCATGTAATAAACTCAGAGTAAAGACTCTACAAACAGCTGAAAATGAGAAACTAAAGTTGAGCTCCTGTTAACGTTGTTTAAACCTGGATTACTTTTATTTTTCTGACCTGTTCATCTCTGTCTTCAAAACAGTAAAGTTTTATTTTCATTGACATTTCAGTTTGTAATAGATGTAAACTTGTACAGCAAAGTGAATGAGAAGCTTGTTTTATGATTGTGTGTCTTGTGCAAGAGTCTTGACCCAAATCACTACACACAACTCAAAGTATGTCTTAACGCGATGGCCTGCAGCTCAGACTTGTGCCGTATTGACAGTGATATTAAAATTTGACAGGGTCCAACCTGGTAAGATTGCTGTTGTGAAACTAAACAGGATATTAATTCACACATGAAGCCAGCACATTCAGATTCACCTAAAGGAGGGCTGAATGGGGCTTTAGTGAATTTCAGCTCATTGTTTAGCGTCAGGCCACCTGCCTGACACTGTGATACCCATTCAGCTCCAAACAGCAGACAGATACACTTAAAGACTAGCTGGTAAACCAAGAACAGCC